TTCTTATTGCAATTGCATGTAGTGCCGTAATCCGTTCATAGACAATCCCAACCGCGATTTTCATGGCCCCACTCCAGAACCCGTGCCTCGCATCTACTCGAGGGCAACCCGCAACATTTCGGTTCATGTGCTACTTAACCGAATTTTTGTATCTTTTTCCTATATTTTTGTTTTATTTGCTATTATTTTAGTGGCGCACTCGTCCGCCGGTCGTCTCGCGTTTCCAAATTGCATGTTGATTTTTTATATACGCTATCTGGTTGAGGAGATCATTAAGCTCTTGTTTTGTTTTGTTTACAAATAATTTTTGTGCGAATTCGGTTGTAGAGGCTCTGCGTAATTCGGAAATCTGGTTTTTATAGCAATTGTTAAACTTAACATAATTTTTAATTTGAGAGAGTCCTTGTTGTTGGGACTGTACAATATAATTGGACACTGTCTGTCTATTGCGATCGCTTTTAATCATGACAGTCAGTCCATCTCTTGAGTCGTAAATACAGTCATCAGTTCATCACATTTAGTTTATATTGGCTCAGTTAGACGTTTAGAGACTCATGATAAGAGATCATATTTATCTTGTTTTGGAAAATTAATTGGTTTTTTACAGCTGAAAATAACCAAAACCAGATATTTTCCACCTCTGCTGTCGAGCTATTATATTTTTTAACGTTAGTTGTATTTGAAACTAAAAAAAAATTCTAGTTCTAGTTATTTTAAATTTTACGTGTTGAAAAGCAGTGCCAGCAAGCAGCAGCCTCCAACAACTATCACACACAGAACAAAACCATCTGTCCGCCATTTCCGCCACGTGTGGATTAGGGAATAGTGACCTCGGTCACTATTCCAACGCAAACGTCCCAAAACAAACCGGCGCGATACGCGTAAATCCTAATACGCGCGTAAATCCTAATTCGCGCGTGTCCGTATTACGCGCGATCCCGTAATCCCGGCCGGCTGCGGCGCAACACGTACGCGACCTTGGGTGCTATTACCTGCGAAGGTTTGGGACAAACTTTAATATATCTTTTGGCAGTATGAAAAGCTTTTATTCGTTCTTTCGTCCTTAGGCTATAGCTGAAAATCAGTGGTTTGCTTTTAAGTAAACCAATTACTGAGCTATTGCCGTTTTACATTTCTGCGACACACATAATATTTTCTGTATAATGTGTGTACCTATTTTTTTTGTTTTTTTTTACACTGCGCCTCTAGTCCCAAACTAAGCAAAGCTTGTACTATGGGTACTAGACGACGGGATAAACATACTTATATACTTTTTTTTTTGTAAATACATACATATTATACATAGAAAACACCCAGACCCGTCACAGAAATTAAAATTCATCATTTCAATTTCTGCCCGGCCGGGAATCGAACCCGGGACCTCTCGGCATAGTAGTCCGTTCTGAACCACTACACCAAACGGCCGACAAAAATTATAATTATTATGTCATAATGTTTTTTTTTCTTTCTGTTTTACCATACCATGTCATAATATTGTCCTGAGGGTACTATTTTATCCTACTTTTGGTACTCTCTGTTTGTAATGTGTGTTTCTGTTATGCAAATAAACGTTTTATCTATCTATCTATCTATCTTTATAGAACCTAAAGTATAATGGCTCTCACTCACACACGCGAGGTCTATGCTTCAGGTTACGGAGAAAAATACTAAACTTTTTCACAAAAACTCGATAAATGGTTGACTTTGAGATGAAGCAAATCTTAGTCGCCCTATTTTTGTTGCCAGTAGATACTCGTACTTAGCCAGTTACTACTAGACTGAAAAGAATTGAAAAATCGTGACTTGAGAGTATGATCAAGTCACAGAGGTATAACACCATGGAAATTGTAAACTTAAGTACACATCCATAGCAATTGGTTCGACGTGCTAAACAAAATTTGAGATAAGAAACTTGATTATCAACGTTAGATCATTTCGATTCGAATTTATTTAAATTGTTGCTTCTGATTGATTAAGTATTTAACAAAACTTAGTTGGATCCTTCAGATCATGATAAAAATTAAATAACTGTTATCTTTGCAAGTAAATATATAATCCTAACTAAACTCCCCGTAAAACAAAACAAAGGGCATCCATCAAAACGGTACTAAAGCAAAAATACAGCTTTTAAATGAGGCGGTTGTATGGAAGCCTGAATAGATTATGAATATCGTACATGAGACTGAAACGAATGGCCGTGTCTGGGCTATCCGTCATCCGACGATGGAATATTGTGGATATACCTAGATAACATAAACAACAACAAATACGTGATTTAGAAATGCAAAAAAATGTATACAAGCACAAACAAGTGATTTCGAAATTTAATAAAAGAAAAATGTAGAGTTCGCTATGCAAGTTTCGCACAAGTTAATTTCTAATAAAAAGTAATCCTTTTTACAGGATCTCCTATCTTTAGTTTCACATATCTTTTAAAAATGAATGGGAAAGGGAGAAATAAGTACCCACTACCAAAACCTCGGGTGAAAATTTCTAATTTATCTACACTAATATTATAAAGAGGAAAGATTTGTACCTATTTTTGTATGTTTGTAATGAATAGGCTCAAAAAGTACTGGGCCGATTTAAAAAATTCTTTCACCAATAGAATGCTACATTCTTCCAATTTGACATAGGCTACATTTCATTTAGAAAAAAATTAGGGATCCTTGGTAAAATTTATAATATAGTATAGTTAGCGGGAAAAAACATTTGTATGAAAAAATCTAAACCACGTAAGATAGATGAAGGGGGTAAAACGGGATCCACGCGTACGAAGTCGCGGGCGGCCGCTAGTAAGTAAATAAGGCGAACTTAATTCCAAGGCTTTCTATGCCTCTGTCTTTGGGCTAAGCAGAAAAAAAAGTTCGTAGTGCTTTTAAATTAAAAATGAAGAAAAAATACACACATAGATGTGTATTTTTCCTTGATAGCAGAATGTTCCTTATGATATCGCAGAAGGACTGTAGTAAATATACCGGCAATAAAGGAATCCCAAATTCAATTTCAAATCCAAAAAACTTACTTTTTTGACATTTTGTTAAAAAATAAAGGCATCATATTGTTTAAACTATCATGATCACAAAATAGTAATTAAAAATTAGGGTACATGGTTGCTATCCCGTCAATAATAATTAAATAAAGGCATGTCCACACTGTCTCCCCAACATTCTTAGCTCCACACGCGAGCCTCCATAATGGATCGCCGAAACCCCTCATGTGTGCACACCGCACGGAATTATCTGCAATTATAACTAAAGGGGAAATTTATACTCGCAAGTGTGAACTGGGCTTTAATAGGGTGAACGCTCTGGAACGATTTTGGCAAGTGTAGCAATTTGGACATCTGTTTTTTGTAAGTAATTAATGAGAGTAAGTATGTAATGAGTAATAATATGAATAAAGTAATCAATCCTTTTTCAAATCATCATAGAAATAAGATTTACTTAAAGAAAGGTATTAAAATATTAAACAACGCAAGATTTTCGATAAGAGTAGGTATGTTTGGGTGTACTTATACTTACAGTGCAAACAAAAGTGGTTGGCAACTAAAAATAAAATATCTGTAATAAATAATTAAGCAAAGGCATTAATTACAAAACCAGTACTTTCAATCAACCTATGGTTTTTGCTGCAAGCATGTCCTTTAGCGATAAATTATTAAAACGATAATGCACATGCAATCTCAGTATTGCTGCGTAGAATGGAACGTTTAAATACTTCCTCGTTAATCAACCAAAAGACAATGCCGGAAATTGGCGTCTTTTTTTTTTCGCGCGGCCATCGACCAAACTTTGTTTTTTGATTACAAAATAGTGTAACAAACCAAACTTACTATGACATGTATACCTCTAAACTCAGTCTGAACTGAGTTACGAGCATTACAAGTTTGATGATTTTCATACTAGATTTGCTTTTTGCGCGCAAAGTTTTGTAAGAAATTGCAACAAAATAGTGAGATTGTATGTGTAAACAAACAATACCATCCATTAAAGGCTCCAGACATCAGTATGGAGCAGAATCAGCGCAATAAAAAAATAGCGCAATATTTTGTTGCAATTTCTTACAAAACTTGCGCACAAAAAGCAAATCTAGTATGAAAATCATCAAACTTCTAATGCTCGTAACTCAGTTCAGACTGAGTTTAGAGGTATACATGTCATAGTAAGTTTGGTTTATTACACTATTTTGTAATCAAAAAACAAAGTTTGGTCGATGGCCGCGCGAAAAAAAAAAGACGCCACTTTCCATACAAAATCTGGCATTGCCATTTGATAGACCCGATCGATTTACATGTCCAGTACTATAGGTAGAGACATTTCGTTGTATCGCGTATCTAGTTAAACTAGCCAGATTGTATGCCACGCGCGGTCACACCCTTGCATTTCAAATTAACATTCGAAATTTCGAATTTCAAAATTGGAATGTCTGCGGCGGCTAGGGTTGCCAGGTGTCCGGTTCGAGCCGGACATTTTTGGCTTTTTACGGACTTGTCCGGTAAAATATTCTCTTAACCGGTCTGTCCGTCTTTTGTTAGGCTTTTTATGTGGCTGCCGAGCCAGTCGAAAGTCGAGCCACAGAATAATATCGAGCACACATCGGCATGGGATGTTGGGCTACCGATATGAAGATGATTGTTGATAGTCAAGAGGCATGATACTAATTATTGCGACATCCTTAAAAAAGGTATGTCCGGCTGTTAGGATTAAATGTCCGGCTAAATTAAGCACCGAGTCCGGCTTTTGTGTTTTTAGACCTGGCAGCCCTGGCGGCGGCGGCCCCCGTCTCGTCGGGTCACGTGACTCGCGTCTAATAACCCCGCCAATCAATTTTGGATGACATGTGCATGTTTGAATATGTTAGATAAGCAATAATTTGCGTGAAAGAATTATTAGCACTACACCATCCCGCGACCTAACTTAGTGTTTAGACTGTACTTCAAAGGGCTTTTACACGACTAAAAGAGGGTGAGAGTTGTAATGTATGGGTAGATTCACATATTAAAATTATTGTTCTAGTGGGAGGTAGTCCTAAGTTTAGTTTTATAACTGTGCCGTGTACCTACTTTTGTATGGTCGTTCATTCTCGAATACAAGCCGCAATAGTAAGACGTGTGTTTCATTGCTCTCCATTAGGCTCATCCAGTGCATAGTTAGGTTACCTATATTACCTACATACTCTTCAGTGGCGACAGGAACGATTACAAACCTACGCGTGTGTAATAAAAATCATGGCGATTGGTAAAATAGCTGAGTTCGACTTGCACAAGGACGACTGGAAGTTATACGTGGAACGTCTAGAACAGTATTTTCTCGCAAATAGCATCGCTAGCAACTTACAAGTGCCGACATTAATTACTGTGATGGGTGCTGAAAGTTATGAATTATTAGTGAATTTGTGTACGCCCGAAAAACCGAAGTCAAAGACATTTTTAGAACTCACGGAAATTATGACTAAGCATCTGCAACCCAAGCCGAGCATTTTAGCAGAAAGATACAAGTTCAGAAACAGAAAACAGAAGCCTGATGAAAGTATTGCAGAATATATGGCGGTTTTGAAAAGAATGTCGAATGTCGTAGGTTAAATCCATCTTCTCGATTGAAATTCTTATGCTTTTTCAATCGAGATGGATTTAACCTATCATCAGCGTGGAATCCGGTGATAACGAAGTACAAATCGCGTTCTAGGCCGTCTCAGAGAAACCCGGACACTGTTAGTGTAGTTTGTCGGACTGACTGTACCACTGACGAAAATATTGTGCAAATGCGGGTGGGTGAAGAAAACTCATCGCGCCGGAGCAGACGACGCCGCATCTCTTCAGTCTGCCCGCGACCATGACTCGTGCAACCGAGCCGAAACGTCGGGAGGGTAAATATTATTTACCGTTAAAATAGATATTGTTGCAATAAATCCCGTGAAGTGATAATTTTATAGTAAAAAATGCAACATAATAGTTTAAAATATGATCAACTCGTATGTGGAATAAATAGCGAGGTAATTCGTCAACGATTGTTTGCTGAAAGCGAATTGGACGGAGCAAAGGCGTATACGCTGGCAGTGAGCATGGAGGCGGCCGAGAAGGACGCCGCCGTCGTCGATGGTCACGCACGGACATCGGAGGACACGGCCGTCGCTGTGGACTATCAAGCGACAGCGGCAAACAGGCGGCCGGGCGTGACGGCTCAGCGCGGTGGAAGATGGCAAGCGGGGCGCACAGGCGCCCGCGAGCGACGTGAGAACCGCGCAGCGCCGACGCCGGGGCCGGCGGAGCGTGCGCGGTGGCAGCGGCAGTGTCGGGTGTGCGGCGCCGACCACGAGGCGGCCACGTGCAAATATCTACACTACGTGTGCAGAGTGTGTAACAGAAAGGAACATTTACGGCGCATGTGTCCCAACGTAACGGAACAACATCGTGTTGACGTCACCCATCCAGACGGCGAAGAACAGGATGAATTCTCAGGCGACGAAGAGGTAGTATTTGTTGACATTTGTAAATTATTTTCCTCACACTGTAAACCAATTTTTGTACAGTTGAACATTAATGGCAGGGATATTAACATGGAATGCGATACTGGGAGTGCAATATCATGTATCAGTAAGGAATGTTACCGTAAACTTTTTAGTGAATTGCCACTTGAGCCTTCCAAGTTAATATTAAGATATTATACCGGCGAGACAGTTAAACCAGTGGGCTTAGTGCGTCCACTCGTTAAATTTAAGGATAGGAAACAAAAATTAGAATTGTATGTAATTGAAAACGGAAAGACAGTGCTTTTAGGACGGAATTGGATGTCAGCATTAAACATACAGTTGCCAGCATTCGAAACTGATGTGTCATTGTTGCATAATAATAATGATGAATTTGACGTGTCGCATTTCAGCTCCAAGTACTGTGAAGTGTTCGCGGACGGGCTGGGTCGGTTCACGGGCGGCGCGGTGAGCATCGCGCTGCGGCCGGGCGCGCGGCCCGTGTTCCTGCGCGCGCGCCCGCTGGCCTACGCGCTGCGCGAGCCGGTGGAGCGCGCGCTCGAGCAGATGGTGCGCGACGGTATCCTCACCCCCGTGGAGCGCTCGGACTGGGCGACGCCGATCGTGCCAGTCGTTAAGAAGGACGGTAACATTAGAATCTGCGCTGATTATAAAATTACACTTAATAAGGTTATAGAAGTTGACCGTTATCCCTTGCCAAGAATGGAGGATCTATTAGTAAAATTAAAAGGGGGAACACACTTTAGTAAAATTGATCTCAGTCAAGCTTACGCGCAATTTGAACTGGATGAATCTAAAAAATATACAGTCATAAATACGCATAAAGGCCTTTTCATGTATAATAGATTGATCTACGGATTGTCTTCGAGTCCAGGTATTTTCCAAAGAAGACTCGAACAGTTATTTGCTGATTTACCTAATGTGGGGGTATTTTTAGATGACATCATAATCACGGGAGCTACAAAAAAAATCCATATTGCGAATTTACACAAGGTTTTCGAGCGTTTACAAAATTATGGTTTAAAGGTAAAAAAAGAAAAATGTGTGTTCTTTGCCGATTCCGTTCAATATCTTGGTCACACTATTAGCAAAGAAGGGATCCAAACTTGCCCAGATAAGGTTCAGGCAATTCTCAAAACGCCCGCACCTAAAACAGTGTCTGAATTACGAGCATTTATAGGCATGGTCATGTACTACGGTAGGTTTATAAAGAATCTGAGTACTATCATGGCACCATTATACGGCTTACTAAAGACAGGTGTGGGGTACGACTGGAGCGACCAGTGCCAGGCGGCGTTCGCTAAGGTAAAGGCGTCGTTGGCCAGCAGCGAGGTGCTCGCGCACTACTCGGCGGAGCTGCCGCTGGTGCTGACGACAGACGCCAGCGGCGCGGGGCTGGGCGCGGTGCTGGCGCGGGGCTGGGCGCGGTGCTGGCGCACGACACGCCGCGCGGCGAGCGCCCGGTGGCCTACGCCTCGCGCTCGCTCACCGCGGCCGAGAAAGCCTACGCGNGAAATTGATATTATAAAAAGTAAAAAACAAAATGAATGTAAAATTTTTAAAGGGTTAAGAAAGTTATGTCCATTTTTGGATGAACAAGACTTGTTAAGAGTTAAAGGTAGAATCAGTAATGCAGATTTTAATTTTGATAAAAAGCATCCTATTATTTTAACAAAGAATTGTAAACTTTCATATTTAATTGTCCGGGATGCACACCACAAAACATTACACGGGGGCCCACAGTTGATGTTAAATTTCATTAATTCTAAATATCATATCATTGGTGCTAAATATCTTGTAAAGCTAATAATTAGAGAGTGCATTTCATGTTGTAGACATTCTGGTAGAACAAATTCACAATTAATGGGAGATTTGCCCAAACATAGAGTTACACCTCAGAGGCCTTTCAGTATAAGTGGTGTGGATCTGGCTGGACCTATTACACTTAAGTTATTTAGTGGCCGTGGGTCAAATAGAACACAAAAGGCATATATTGTTTTGTTTATTTGCACAGCTGTTAAAGCTATACACCTAGAATTGGTCACCAGTCTGAGCACCGAGGCATTTTTGGCGGCTTTCAGGCGTTTTTCAGCCCGTAGAGGTCATTGTCAAAAACTAATTAGTGATTGTGGTACAAATTTTATTGGTGCTAGTAAATGTCTTAAAGAGTTACATACAAATTTCTTAAAAAACTTGCCACCTGAAATTGCTGAAAGTTTAGCTCAGAATGGTACTGATTGGCAATTTAATCCTGCTGGTGCACCCCATATGGGTGGACTATGGGAGGCCAATATTAAATCTGTTAAAAAGCACTTGTCTAGAGTTTTAAGTGATACCAAATTAACTTATGAGGAATACTATACCTTGTTGTGNGGCGCGGGGCTGGGCGCGGTGCTGGCGCACGACACGCCGCGCGGCGAGCGCCCGGTGGCCTACGCCTCGCGCTCGCTCACCGCGGCCGAGAAGGCCTACGCGCAGATAGACAGGGAGGCGCTGGCCATCATTTATGGCATCCGTAAGTTTCATCAGTACCTTTACGGTCGTAAATTTATTTTAAGGACGGATCACAAGCCTCTCACTTACATTTTTGGGGATAAGGTAGGTATACCCGTGATGGCCGCTTCACGATTGCAGCGGTGGGCCGTGATGCTGTCAGGCTACAACTACGATATACAGTATGTTCCCTCGAGTAAAAACTGTGCAGACGCGTTGTCCAGATTGCCATGTAAAACAGTGAGAAACCCTAATGAAGAAGACGTTACGTATGTAAATTTTGTTGAGAACTTTTTACCAATTACAAGTACTGATGTTAAAAATAAAATTAAAAATGACACAGTATTAAGCAAAGTAGTAGTTTATGCGTGCACGGGTTGGCCTCAAGTATGTCCGGAGGAAGAATTAAAACAATATTTCATACGACGTAATGAAATTTATGTGGAGTGCGGTTGTATTATGTGGGGCTATCGAATGATTATTCCGTCTTGTTTAAGACAATGTATTCTTACACAACTACACAGCGCGCACCTAGGCATAGTGAAAACAAAGTCACTTGCGCGGAGTTATGTGTGGTGGCCGAACATAGACCGCGACATTGAGACGCTGTGCAAGCAGTGCGAGACGTGCGCGGCGGAGGCCGACGCGCCCCCGCGCGCCCCCATCCAGCCGTGGGTGTATCATGATCGCCCGTGGTCGCGAATCCACATTGATTTCCTAGGTCCTTATAAAAATCAAACTTTTCTTGTTTTAGTAGATGCGACTTCAAAGTGGATAGAGATATTTGACATGAAACGTACTCAGGCAACGAACGTAATTAGGGCACTTAGGTCTACGTTTGCGAGGTTTGGCCTGCCTATTGAACTAGTATCGGATCAGGGTCCTCCGTTCACAAGCGCCGAGTTCAAAGCATTTTTGAAAAATAACGGGATAAAGCAACTTTTCTCACCCGTTTACCATCCCTCTTCAAACGGTGCCGCCGAGAACGCGGTTAAAATCTGTAAACGCGCCATCAAGAAGGCACATAGGGACGGAATAGATATCGACACAGCGTTACAAACATTTTTGTTAGCCTATAGAAATACGGCGCACAGCAGCACCGGTGAGTCACCCGCGATGTTACTACAGCGGCGCGCGCTGCGCACGAGGCTCGACGAGCTGCGGCCGGCGCGCGCGGTCACGGCGCGCGTGCACGACGCCCAGCGCCGGCAGGCCGACGCGGCGCGAGGGGTCCTGCGCCCCTTCGCCGAGGGGGATCCTGTATGGGCGCGGGAGTATTCAGGTGGGGACAAGTGGGTAAAGGGCACAGTGACTGCGTTAAGTGATAGTGCTCGTAGATACTCAATAGCTAGGAATGATGGTCAACTTCTTAAAAGACATGTAGATCAGATTCGGCGCAGGTCTAGGTTATCGGATGTTACTTGTCCGAGTAGTCAAAATTCGGGGAATGAGGATATCGCTCAGCCCATCTCGGATGAAGGAAAAACTAATTTGTCCTTACAAGGAAAGAGTACACCTTCAGATACCGAAGGGGAATTCGGGGAATGAGGATATCGCTCAGCCCATCTCGGATGAAGGAAAAACTAATTTGTCCTTACAAGGAAAGAGTACACCTTCAGATACCGAAGGTGACAAAAATTGTCAAGATAACAACAGTGATAACCAAACTGCGTTAACTATTGAACCGCCCGCACCACCGTCACAGCCAGTAAGCAACTATTCAAAAAGAATCAGGAAACCGGTAATACGATTTAAGATCGATAGTTAAATAAATAAATAAATTGTTAAGTAAATCTGTTATTTTGTAGATCTATAGTTAATTAAGAAAGAAAACAAACTGTTACTAATGTGTAAAATTGTTATAAATAAACCTTCTGTATTTCTATTCGATGCTTATGTGTATGAGATTAGAGTTGACTATCGAATGGCAGGTACAGAGTGTAACGAAAAGACGTGTGTTATATACGGCGACTTTATTGGGACTGTTTTTACACTGCAAAATTTGCCTAGCTACTCATTCAATGAATGAGACCGTGCGCTTGTCTATTATAAACATAACATGCCGCCCACCAAAGTACGACAGGACTTTCATTAAATTATTAGCATGCACATAGTATACTTATACAATACAACAGCAATTTACTACCAACATCACATAACTAAGTAAACATGATCGCAAGTTAACATAATTATACAAAGTAAGTTAAACTCAGGAAGTAAACAGTAGTTAAGAAACTGTGAGACAATGTAAGTATAATCCAGTAGGCTTTCTCAACATTGACATTTACTATTAAAATTATATATTCGTACAAACTGAATTAATCTTCAACATAGATAAAGAAATTTACTGCATCATCATTAATAGGTAGTTCACAAAATTTACTAACCGAACGTTTTACAATTTCATTACGATACCTAACACTGTATACTCTGGTACAACCGTCATTTCCAGGGTGTTGAGCTACTATCCTACCTAATGGCCACTTGCCGGGTGGTAATTGTTCGTCCTTAAGTAACACAACGTCACCTACTTTGAATTCTGATTGTTTTTTATGCCACTTAGGTCTAGTTTGCAATCTAGTCAAATATTCAGTTTGCCATCTATGCCAAAAATCTCTAACTAACTTTTGAGTCATTTGCCAACGGTTTAAACGGTTAATATTTATGTGTTGTAAATTAGGAGAAGGTACGTTAATTGGGGCCTCGCCTATCAAAAAATGACCAGGCGTCAAAGGTTCTGGTGCATCTGGATCTAAATTGTCGATTGGAACCAAGGGTCGTGAATTCAAACAAGCTTCTATGTCACAGAGTGTGGTTGTCATCTCCTCGAACGTGAGACTAGCTGTGAGTATTCTTCGAAGGTGGTATTTTATAGATTTCACGCCTGCTTCCCACAAGCCACCGAAATTAGGGCTGTAAGGCGGAATGAAATGCCACTGTGTTCCTTCCCTTGCGAGATGTTCCGTTAAATGTTCTGGTAGTTCTAATTTTGTGGCGTTTAATGCTTGTGCCAATTCCTTGTTAGCACCGACAAAATTTCTGCCTTGATCACTCCACAAATGTGTACATCTACCCCTGCGAGCAACAAAACGACGAAATGCGCCGATGAAAGATTCGGATGTTAGGTCCCCAACCAATTCAAGATGGATAGCTTTAGTAGCCATACAAATAAATATGGCAATGTACGCCTTATTTTGTTTAGCTCCACGTCCTCTAGACATCAAAACATACAAAGGACCAGCAAAATCAACCCCACTGTGCAAGAAAGGACGTGCTGGTGTTGTGCGCACACGAGGTAAGTCACCCATCAGTTGTGTTTTAACAAGGGCCTTCTGTCTAGCACATATTACACATTTATGTATGTAAGCCTTAACCGTATTTTTTGCTTGCAGGATCCAGTACTTCGAACGCAGGTAAGTCAACACTAGCTGCGTTCCACCATGCAGTGTTCTTTTGTGTGCATCAGCAATAATCAGGTAAGTTAATTTACTTTTGTTTTTCAGGATTATAGGATGTTTGCTGTGTTCCGGTAAGACAGAGTTACGCAATCTGCCGCCCACCCTGAGGACATCATCTTCGTCAAGGTAAGGATTCAATGTTTTTAATTTACTATTTCTCTTTACATTTTTGTTAGCTTTTAAATCTTCAATTTCATCATTAAATTCTTCTTGTTCAATTTTGATGCATTTCTTCAAAGCAATGTCTAATTCTTGCGTAGTTATTGGCTCATCTATCCCTTCTGGATTTGTTTTACTGTGTAAAAACCTTATGCTGTATACTATTACTGTTAAAAGTTCATTCAAATTGTCAAATTCTTCAAATTTTATTATCTTTTCTTCATTTATCTTCAAATTTGCATGTATGTTTCTTTGTTCTAAGTCTGTATGTGACACACTTGGTTTTGTAAATATGATTTCTTGTTGGCTTAACCATTTTGGTCCATCCCACCATAGCTTGCAGGTTTTCAGGTCTGAGACTAGAGCGCCCCGAGAAGCAACATCAGCAGGGTTTTGCTCTGATTTCACATGATGCCACTGCTGGTGATTGACATTGTCCAAAATTTCGACGACGCGGTTCGCAACAAATGTCTTCCATCGAGTCGGTTCTCCACTTAGCCACGACAACACTATCGAAGAGTCAGTCCAAGCAAATATTTGTGAAGCAGGTATTCGCATTGCTTGTGCTACATGCCTCAGTAATTTGGACAATAGCACTGCTCCACAAAGTTCCAGTCTAGGTAGCGAAACTGGCTTAACAGGAGCGACTCTTGTTCGAGCTGCAAGCAATTTAGTGGTTATAGTGCCATCGAAGTTAATTATTCTGCAATAAATAACTGAGGCGTATGCTTTCTCAGATGCGTCTGAAAATCCATGCAATTCTATCCTCTTGGTTTCTTTGTTTGAACATCCAATCCATCTTGTTATATTAATGTCTTTAACGTTTTCAAAGTCTTGTCTTAATTTTGACCATTCTTCTTTCAATGCCTCGTCAGGTTCTTCATCCCAGTCTACCCTCTTCAACCACAGTTTCTGTATCAGTATCTTCGCGTTAACTATGCAGGGTGCTATCCATCCAAGTGGATCAAACAGCCTTTGAATTTGCGCTAGTATGTTTCGCTTTGTGATTGAGGTGTCCAGAATGGGAGGTAAGTCTATGTCATATTTGAATTGATCGTTTGCTAAATTCCATAGGATGCCTAACGCTTTAATAGTTCCATCAATTTTCAAATTTAGCTGTACTTTAGTTGAACGGTCTTCCGGTTTGATAGATTTCATGAATTCGGCACTATTAGACGACCATTTTTGCAATTCGAAGCCACCTCTTTTTAGTATTTCAGTCATTTGTTTGCATGCTTCTATGGCTTCGGCTGCACTGTCAAACCCAGATAGTACGTCATCCATATAAAAGTCTTCTTTCAGGATCTTTGCAGCGACAGGAAATTCTTCACCTTCATCGTCAGCTAATTGTAACAAGGTCCTGACTGCGAGGTAAGGTGCTGGTGCGGTTCCAAACGTAACGGTAAGTAAACGGTATTCTTTTATGTCTTCACTAGGATTGTCTCTCCATAGAATACGTTGGAAATCGGCATGTTCTTTCTTTACTAACACCATTCTATACATTTTTTTCAGGTCAGAAACAAAACATACGGCGTGCATTCTCCACCGCAGGACTATGCTTCTCAGATCCTCCTGCAAAACCGGTCCAACCAATAACTCATCGTTCAGAGATATCCCGTTCGTGTCTTTACACGATGCATCGAAAACTACACGAACTGGAGTAGTCTCGCTTCCGCTTCTTATAACAGCATGATGACTCAAATAAACTGCTTTGTTTTCATGTTCTTGTTTTGGTATTTCTTCTGCATGATTTAAATAGTGTCCGACCGAAACTAGTTTTACGACCGAAACCGAAACCGAAAACGAATTTCGGCAACGGTGTNTGATTTCTGAACGTCTGCTTTAAATGGTAAGTTTACTATGTATCTACCGATTTCATTTCTTTTGTATGTTTTCTCGTATATGTCTTCGCATTGTTTTTCTTCTTGTGTAAGCTTTCTTCCTCTTCCAGTATCTAATTCCCACATTGCGCTGAGCATTTCATTAAAATCAACCTGGTGATGCATTACAAGCAGTGACGGCGTTTCAGGTTCTCTCTCACCTATTTTGCCAAACAAAATCCAGCCAAGATCAGTCTTTTGAGCACACGGTGTTCCAGGGGGCCCTTTAATTATGTCAGAATGGACGATTTGTGCGTACTCGTTGACCCCAAGTAACAAGTCTATCGGTGCTGATTTGTTGTAGGTTGGATCAGCTAATTGCAAGTTGTATAGGTGAGGCCAGTCTCTCACCGCGATTGATGAAGAAGGTAATTTGTCGTNGTTTAGATATAACGTAAGCTTCTGATTGCAGACAAAATTCCTTGTTATGTGTTGAAAGTATATGAAGTTGAACTTTGCTATTTATCTTCGTCTTTGTAGAACCAACTCCAACAATGTTCCCTGTGATTGATTTTCTTTTCAGTTTCAGTAGCTGAGTCGCCCGTTCGCTTATAAAAGATGCCTGCGATCCTGGATCTATTAGCGCTCGAAAAATCATGGTATGTCCTGTTTCACTCTTGACTTTTACCATTGCTGTGGCTAATAGAGCATACACCTGGTTTGTCTTGCAGTGTGACGTCATCAATGTGTTGACTTGGATTTCATCCTCTTCTACATTTGTATTAGTAGCATGTGCAGTAGGTTCATTCGACTTAGTTTGATGCAGAAGGGTATGATGACGCCTGTGACATATGCGACAGGACATTTGTAATCGGCACTTCATAGCGGAATGTCCTGTCCACAAACAATTGAAACACAGGTTTTGATTTTTTGCATAATTACTTCGTTCCGTAGTTGACATCTTTGTGAACTGTTTACAATGACATAAAGTATGATTTTCGTTACATAATATGCATGTTCTTACTGGAGAAGTTGCTGCGTGGAAGGTTTTATCTCTTGTGGTCTTCTCTCTTGCTCTCTCTGATGCTCCCGTCGTGATTGGATTAACTAACTCTAACGTACGAAACCTTGATTCCAAAAAACACTTCAAATCAACCCACGACGGTAACACGTCCGAGTCACTCTTGAAAGCGAAAGTCTCCCAATCTTTACGTGACTCCTGATCCAATTTCTGTACTACAAGAAATATAATTATAGGATCCCAAGAATCGGTTTTAATATTTAAGTTATTTAATGTATTTATGCATTCGTTAGTATTATCGAGTAACATTTTAATTTGATTGGCAGACTGAACACTTAACTTTTTATATGAAAACAACTTATTTATAAGAGAGTGCACTATTATACGTTTATTTCCGTAACGATTTTTCAAAGTGTCCCACGCATCCAAATAATTGGCTTCTGTCACACGAACATGTCTGAGGAGTGCTTCTGCTTCGCCCGCTAGGCTGGTCTTCAAGTAATGAAGCTTTTGTACGTCGGAGAGTGCGCTGCTGTTGTGTACTAAACTCACGAACAAGTCTTGAAATGTCGGCCACTCTTCATAGCTTCCATGGAAGGTAGGTAATTGTATACTAGGTAGCCTAACTTGCGACTGAAACGTTGATACATTGGGCGAATCATTATTCATAATGCAAGGCGAGCTTCTTTGTTGTTCCAGACTTTTCTTCTCATCTAACGCCGTGATCGCATCACGAATGTTGCCTTTGATACAGATATACATGTCCTCAAACGTTCCATATTGATCTTCCGCAAAGTAAGCTATGTCAGCTCGTTGTTCGCGCGGCGTGATCTTCACGAGTTCATGATGTGTGGTTGTAAACAACTTCCAGTATTCGTCTATACACTGCCTTCGAGCTTGTAAATATCCTTTAGTCAACCTTGCTTTAGGACATTTTCTTAGATTACTTTCCGTTTTTCTTATCAAACAAGCTGTTTCTTCAAGTTGAAGTAGTAATTGTTCCATATTTGTAGTAATTGATGTTTAACTTCACTCGTAAAAATGTCCGATGAATAAGTTTTCTCTAAAACTCAGTCCGGCATTGATATGCAAATTAGGCAGATAACGCTCAACTCGTAAACAAGTTAGTTGGAATCTTCATTTCTCCTTCGATATCTTAACTGCTTCACCATAAGGGCTAATTTGCAACTTCACGTAGCACAAATAAATCGGCACCTTCCATTAGCGCGCAGCGTATTGTATTCGATCGCTCCCAGGTGCACGAATATTTTGTTTATTCCACTGCAAATATCCGGTTCGTTACGGACCACTATGATGCTTATGTGTATGAGATTAGAGTTGACTATCGAATGGCAGGTACAGAGTGTAACGAAAAGACGTGTGTTATATACGGCGACTTTATTGGGACTGTTTTTACACTGCAAAATTTGCCTAGCTACTCATTCAATGAATGAGACCGTGCGCTTGTCTATTATAAACATAACA